GGGGTGGCGCAGGGCTGAATGTGGAGGGGGTGTGGTACGTGGCTGGATGTGGAACAGCGGAAGCATGGGCTGGTGGGTGGTGGCAGCAGCTACCATGTGCAAGCTTCCCCCCCAGCTCTGCTTCTGGGAGGTGGCGGTGGCAAGGGGTGGTGGGTAGCGGCACTTCATCCCCACCCGCCCCCTCATTCTTGATGGGCAATTTGCTAAGAATGATAGGCGGGACAGGTGGGGATGGAGCGCTGCCACCCACCACCCCACACACACTGCTGCCTCCCAGGGGGGTGCCGTGGGGCCAGACGTGGAGTGGCGCAGGGCTGGATGCAGTGGGGGGGTGCAGCCTGCAGCCAGATGTGGAGCAGCAGCAGCATGGGGTGGTAGGTGGCGGTGGCAGCCACTGTGTGCATGCTTCCCCGCCCCGTTTCTGGGAGGTGGTGGCAGTTCTCCGTCCCTGCCCTTCCCCCATCATTCTTGATGGGCAATTTGCTAGTATTTATATAAATATTAAATATATATTTTTAAGAACAGATTGCCATTGGATTCAGTGGAATTAAAATTCTTTAAAGATCTTAAATGGTGAAAACTACCCTTTTCATATGTGCTTACCTCAAAAATGACTAAATATTTTTGATTGTTCCTTATTCTAGCTGTAGTAGGATCAGGAATCTCCTCTTGGGAGTTGGACTGTGTTGCACCAATCACAGTGGAGTCACATGATAAAAGATTGTCTCTACCCTGAGTTGGTTACAGTCTCATGCCTCAGCCTGTAATCAGATCCGTATAAACTCATCTCCTGAGACAGCCAAAGGAATTTTTCCAACTCTTATAACCAGTCAAATATATGCACAAAAAATTGCCCAGCTTTATAATTGGCAGATAAACAAAGAAAAACACAGTGGGAATTCACCGTGGGTATCACAGCATTATTGCGAACTTACAGTTCAGTTACAAATAGGCCTGACTGGGTTTCACAAAAGGCTTGTAGTATAAAAACATGCAAGCCACAAAGTCTTAAGTGACAAGCGTCATGGTTGAAAGCTGTAAGAACTGTTCTCCTCTGTTTCCTAACTAGAATCAAGGCCTTGTCACATATCCACTCACAATAGTTGCAAATCACTGGAATGTTGTGACCTATCAATGTAAAAGATAACCCTTGTCTGAAAGAGACCAACTTTGCAACACCATGAGGGCACTTAATATGTGCTAAACTATTTGAACATACACATGCTTGTGTTTTAACTGCACTTAGTAAGTGTTCATACATGTGATACCAACCACCTCAGAAGAGTTCTACCTCTTCCCTCGAAGCAAATAATTTACAAAGAAATTCAATTGGCCAAACTGTTAATAGACTGTTTCTTGGCTAGATCAGGGATTTGCATTAACTTAGCTTAAAACATGAATACTGTATTTCTAAGGTAGAGGCATTTTTCATTTGGAAAATCTTCAGAACAGAACAAAAAACCAAAATAGATATCCCTCTCTTTCAACAAGGAAACCAAGTAGATTCCTTTTGAAGGGACTAAACTCTACTCCCAATAAGGAGAAGGTTTGGAGCAGATGTGGAAAATCAGTATCTAGTCTTGGATGCCACTATTATGAAGTCTTTCTATGATACCTCTCATGGTAAGATTCCTATCTAGCAGACAACTCAGAAAGGCAGTTTTCTGTAATAAAGAATGAGGCAAAAGTGCCTATGTTGTGCTCAATTAAGCCATTTTATCTAATCAGGATAATCAGAGGGCTCATTTTGGATGTTTGACCAGTACTGTTAAAAAGCAATCTGTTCTTGAGGAAGACAAAGTTTCAAGATAGGTGGGTTCAAACATTGGAAGGTGTAGAAAAGAATCCTATATTTATTAATCCCATTTATTTGGACTTTTATGGGCTGACTCAGGGAAGAGAGAGAGGAGGGAGAAGAGGAGGAACCAGATGAAGCTGAAGTGGGTTTCTTCACCCTTTTTGTCCAGTGGTATACAAAGAAAAAGAATAAGTATTCTCTTACCTCAAGGTACTTTCTCTAAGAAGGAATCCCTTAGCTTTTTGACTCACTGTACTATTAAGAGATGCAAGTGAACACAACAATGTCCTCTGCTCCAATTAGTAAGTCACCTGCCATCTTAATTCACATGAACAGTTCAAGGAATGCTTCTGATGTATAGCTTTGCACAGCATCACTTGGAGTGCCTACAGACATTCAGGGCCCCGCTCTAACTCATGGAGCTGTACATAAAGTGCCACGAGTTAGAGCCCCTCCACTGTTTCCCCAGATCCAACAGATATTCACCCGTTGGGTTGGTGGGGAGCTGGAGCCTGCCTATACCTTCCCTGGCCAGCATGCAGGGTCACTCTGGCAGCCTTCCTCTCCCCAGCCCTGCTTCACCTCCAGGGCTGTCAGTGGTGGAGGGAAGGGGAAGAAGAAGGAGCAGCTAGCACAGAGCTGCTGGCTGCTTTTGAATGCCTAGAGATGAGGGGTGTGGGGGAGTGGAATGGAGCTCTCTCACCTCAGGGTTTCCCCAGCTACCCCAGCTGGGGTATTGGGGTAAGCTGGGCTGGACTCGCAAGGCGTGGGGGCTCTGTTCCACTCCCCTCCCCCTCAACTCTAGCCATTCGAAAGCATCTGGCATCTCCATGCTGGATGCTTCCTCCTCTTCCCCTGCTGGCATCCCTGGGGATGGGGATGGGCTGGTGCTGCCAGTTTCAGCATCCATGTGTAAGCACCATTGGTGGCAGATACTTAGTACTGCAGGTACTACAGTACTATTGAAAAGAGAAGGAAACCTCCCCATAAGTGTTCTTATGCTCTCTCTCTCCTCTAGGGTTGTCAATGCAAGAATTGTTTTTACTGACAATCTGCAAGCTTCTTACTGACTTACATTTTACATAATGTAAATGATGTAACCATTCTTCCAGGTCCAGTAGCAAGGGCTGCATTCTAATGTTAGGATTTAACACTAACTTTTAACACAGTCTTCCTCGACTGCAGCAATGGTTTTACACTGTGTTGCCCCCAGCCCCTAGGGTCCCCTACTTACCTCCACACCCTGGTACCCATGAAACACCCTGCACTATGCTGTCCCCACCCCAGTCCACCTCCTAGGCTCCACCAGTTTACCTTGGCAGCTCCATTCCCCTCAGGCCAGCACAGACCCCCACCAGCCACCTCTCCTCCCTCCCAGCCCTGCGGTTTCATCCTGACTGCACTGCCCCTCTACCCGACCTGCTCTGTGCCTCAGACTCCCTGGGGCTGCATAGTTCTGCCTACCTTCAAGGGGTGCTGCCATTTTGGGCAGGTGATGCCTGGGACGTGGTGGCAGCCCATGGCTGGTGGGTGGAGGGAAAGTTATTCACAATTAAAGTGGTCGTAATTCAATTTAGTTTACTTCCCTTCCAAAGTGAATTAAGAGAAATCAAATTAAGGCTATTTTAATTCTGGATATGAGGATCCAAACAGGTATTTATTGAAGTTTCACTAATCCATTTTTTAAAGTCATGAACCTATAGTTCATTTGAATTATTTTTTCTGAGGGTTTCTGGGTATATAGGTCTCTAAACAAATAAACAACTGGAATATAAAATGGCATCCTGACTGGTCGCTATCCTTCCTGCTCAGTCTTGATCAATTTGTCAACAGTTTTGGCCTCAATGGGTGCCTGGGCACAGTGGCAGCAGCTGAAAATAATTGGAGCACCAGAGGATTTTTAGGTCCCCTCCCTCCTGGCCATGTACCTGTACTAGGTAATTCCTAGCGGCTGAACTTGACCCTTTATCCTAGCAGGGACCTGGGTACAAAAAGGCTGTAGCAGAAACCTGAAGAGGGCTGGAGGTATCATTGCAAATGGATTATTGAAGAGTTTCCCAGATGTGAGAAACGTGAAGTTTTCTTTGTCTTCTGACAACATCTTCTAATTATTTTCCTTGCTATACATAAAACTGGATTTCCCAGTTCCCTGGGAAAGGGATACGAGTTCTGTTTTTACAAATCTGAGTTATCCATTATAGTAGTGTTTAACCATGATAGTCCATGAAATAGGTGAGAAGCAAGATTTGTCTGATCTCTCTTACTGGATCAACTATATGGTTGGGAGCGGTATTAGACAAGATTTCAGGTACTAAATTCCTTTCCTCAGATGTTCTTTCCTAGACCAGAGGAAGGGCATTTTGAAGCCAAAAGCTTGTCTAACATCCTCCAAACTATAAAGTGGGATTAATAAAAGATAGTAGTCATTGACTTTACAACAAGGCTGCTTTTCACTGTTGGCAGACTGGTACATGAGCTACAGCTCCAGTTGGATGAGCTGAAGTCTTGTCCAGACATGTGTTAAAGTCTTCTTTTAGCTAACCCAGCTGTAAACGTGAACCCTAGGCTGATGAATCAAAGGTAGCTGGATTTCATACTAACCACATCATTCTTTTGTGTACTTTTGGCTACAGAAACTGATATGCCTTAACCATATCTACCCTCATGGTTCTTCTGATGGAAGGCATGTGTTTGTGCCAACCCAGCGAGAATACAAGTATGTGCCTTCCATCTGAAAAACCAAGAGGCCAACTATCAGCTCAACATTATATGGTCTGGAATCCCACTATCCCACTGTTCAAAAACTATCTAGTTTACTTCAGAGTCATCCTTGATCAAACCCTCTTATACAAAGAACACATCATGAAGACAAAAGCAAAGGTGAGCATCCATCACCTTTGCAACCAGCCACTGCTCTGGCTCTCAACTTCTCATCTGTCAAGTATGCATACCCTGTATGGGAGAGATCCATATGTGCTAAGTGCCTTGACCCCATCCTGAATGATAGCTGCTGATGCATCACAGGATGTCTGAAGCCTACCAGCCTAAACAGTGTGTACCTGCTGGCTGGCAATGCTCCACCTGACATCAGAAGAGCAGTGGCCAGTATAGGATGATCGAGACAAACTGAAGATGTGACAAACCTGCTGTACAACCATCCCACAGCACACAAATATCTGAAATCATGCAGAAACTTCCTTACCACACCCAAGGAGAGGTGACTACAGATGTTCAACAAGAGCCTGAAGAAAATACCTGACAGCACAAAAATGGACATTCCAGTGGCTGCGTTTTTACCACCAGGGGCTTATGAACCGTGGCAAAGGTGGTGATGTCTCAACCGCCTGTGCACCTGAGTCGGAGTGCCAAGGACCTAATGAAGTGGAGCTATACCATTTGTTCAACCACCTGTGACTGCAGCAAAGAGCTTCGGACTATGCAACACTTGCTGCAATGCCAGCTGCTTAGACTTTTCTATCTAGACGACTCTGGCTTAGATTTTTCTATCTTTCCTGGTCCCCAGGCCCACTGCATCTAAAAGGAGAAACAGTAGCATGTGTTGTTGACAGCTGTAAGGGAGTAAATACTGGTTTGGATGCAGAATACCTGTTCACTGAATAAAGTGGCAATAGATCTAAGCATCCTATTATTCTAATAGTCCCTTGGTTCAGAAAAGCCACCTGGATCTCATGACTAAAATACTGATGAGCCTGAATGAGTGAATTAACTCAGTGATAGTATAGCTCTGCCTTCAGCATTTAGTTCAGGTGTTGCAACTGGCATCTTTTGAACTAACTATATACCAGCTAATTCCCACACTTAGAAATAGGCTGTCTGTAGGGATTGTGTTTTTTTTTTCTTTAATAAGAGATGACACATAATGCAAACCAGTCGCTGCATCCACAGTGTGGGTAGATATACAAAGCGTTTATTGATTCCTACTGGAGGAAGTAGCTTGGGCTCAGCTTGGCCAGCAGGTTCCTTGTGAACTGACATCCCTTATTATGTTTTATTTATAGATTGATGGGTGAAGCTTCAGTGTACCGTGACACTTCAGTCAACCCCAGCCCAAAGCCTTGCTGGGTCACTCTCTCATGCTGTGAGGTTGCTGTCCTTGGAGAAAGCCTGCCCTCTTGCAGGGGATGATCAAGTCATAACAAGGAGAGACTGGCAGGAGGATGCAGAGTGGAACTGAGTGCTAAAGAGGGCGCTGGTGTACACCTCAGCTGGTGTCAACTGTCATGGCTCTGTTAACATCAGTATCTCTAAGGCAATTTATACCAGCTGAGGATTATAAGCTGATCATAAAGACTTTTCCTCCCTAAAGACAAGATAAGAACAGAGCATTGAACATTATGCACTGGTCATTTAAGTTAGATTCAGATCCCCAAGTTAGAGGCAGAGCCAACATGCACTGTCCTTCTGATCCTCTATAACCTCGCCATGTGTAAGAGCAATCCAAGGATGTTTCATTATTCAGAGTAGTGATGGAGAGAGCCACTTCTTCACAAACTGTATGTGGAGGGGAACGGTCCTAGCCACTCCCAATGGCAGACAGAAGGAGTTGGGTCCTAAGGCTTGGTTTGTGTGTGATGGGGAAATTAACTTCTCTATAGCAAAGGCATCTGAGAGTAACAGTGGTTTCGTCTGAAAGGCTCCAGGTGTCTCAGGGAGATCATAACTTTCTGGTAGAGTCTGGTGATTCATGAGTGTTAAAATAATGCTGATGAGTGGAGTGGGGGCTGGCTTTGGAGGCTTTTTTTAGAGACTAGCTAAAATAGAATCAGTGTCTTTGAATCTCAGGCTTTGGGGGCTGAATGACCTCAATTGTCAGGACTGGTAGTATCAGCGGGAATGCTGGCAGATCTCTCAGGAGGGCTAAGTTATAGTCAGATGAGAGGGTAAGAAACTTAGTTTTGCTTTCCCGCTTTCAAACCTATAGTCTGTTTTGCTTTTATAACTTTTTTCTCCTACATAGTGCATCCTTTTGTTATTTACCTCCTTACTGATTGCCTAGGGCAGGGCAGGGTGTACACTGCTCCGCATCTGGCCGCCAGGGGTATACTGATCCAAAAAGGTTGGAAACCCCTGGCTT